CTCAAATGAAAGCTCTTGATGAGTGTAACAACGGGATGAGCTTATATCTTTAATATATATATCATATATATGTATATATGAAAAATATATAAAAAATGCATGTAGGTACTTAAATGAAAGGTCTTAATGAGTGTAACATCAAGATGAGCTTATATCTTTAAAAATGTTAATAGTTCAAAAAGTACAGTGCTACTTTTAACTAAAGTCATTATTTAATAAAACAAAATTTTATTGATTCGTAGTTCACAAGTCACGGCAGTCACGTAGTGACTGCAAGTTTGTTAGTTTATGTTATTTATTAAATAAACAAAAATTTTTTTTTTAATTTATATTTAAAAATTCTTAATTTGATAAAAATTAATTTAATTAATAAATTAAATTTTTTAGGTCAAGAATTCTTGATTAGAAAATAAAATAAATTATTTTTCTATCAGTATCCTTTCATATATACTTTAATTCCACAAAACTATACTACTAAAAATTATTCTAAAATTTCAACTGCATCACATGCACGCTAATCACACTATTGGCTGCCGAGGTCTAGAAAAAAAAAAAAATCCCGCGATCTACTAACATAAAAACCAGAAAAAAAAAAAATTCTGTTGTATGTCACAGAGTCCTGTACCATCATTCTGTACCAGCGATGGGAACAATGGTCTGCCCACCTCGGACGAGAATCTCAACCAGGAATACTAGAGCTTTTAAACCACTTTTGACACTTTAATTCACGCATTAATTAATTTAATTACTTAAATGAAAAAAAATCAAAATATTGAGCGACTACGAAGAAATGTTAAAAGATCTTTCAGACGATCCTGCCGCGCATATCGCGCTTTTTCACAAACAAAATCGCCATCGTCATCTAACGCACCAAGATATCGAGAGACAATTGCTTGTTAATTTGTTAGAAAAAAAAAAAAAAAAAAATGAAAATGAAAAGTGAAAATTGTTATCTGAATTAAAATGATTTTTTTTTTTCATGTATATAGAATATTTGTAATTTATCGTCACTTTAAACACTATGTAATGATTGTAATAAAATATACACAGTTAGATATCACTTGTATCGCTTGATAATAAAATTATTAATATTAATATTAAATATTGATAATAAAAATATACATTTTTAAAGTAATTGTAATTTTAATAATCGTTGATACGATTTATGGAGACTAATATTATTGAATATTATTAATTATTATATATTATATATTAATATTGAATAAAATTATTAATTATTATTATAATTATTATTATTATTATTATAGAGATGTCACGACTGTATGCTATTTAAAATTTTAAATTGAATTTAATTGAGAGATTTATTGTATCTGTATCTTGAAGATAAAAAAAAATTCGTAGAAATAATATTTTTGTTTTTAAATTATATGACGCACTTTATTTAGTTGCACCTATCCTTAGTTTTCCTTTTGTTAATACACTGATAGAAGGATTTATTTACTATTAATAATTTAATTTATTTTAAGACAATTAATTAATTTTTAATTGCTAATAAAGAAAAATTATCTTTATAAATTATCTATAATATTAAGAGAATAAGACAAATTTTGTGTTCAGGATATATAATTAAAAAATGGGCTTGTATCTTGTGAAATATTGACGTTTTTAAAGATATAAGCTCATCCTGATGTTACGCTCATCGAGACCTTTCATTTGAGTACCCACATCAATTTTTTATATATTTTATATATTTATATATTTTATATATATGTATATATGAAAAATATATTAAAAATGCATGTGGGTACTCAAATGGGAGCTCTTAATGAGTTAAAACTCAGAATGAGTTAATATCTTTAAAAATGTCAATAATTGAAAAATAACCTTGTATCTTATGACCTAATGACATTTTTAGAGATATAAACTTATCTTGATGTTACACTCATCAAGACCTTTCATTTGAGTACCCACATCCATTTTTTCATATATTTTATATATTTATCTATCATATATATGTACATATAAAAAATATTTCAAAAATGTATGTGGGTACTCAAATGAAAGCTCTTGATGAGTGTAACATCAGGATGAGCTTATTTCTAAAAAAATGTCAGTAATTAAAAAATAACCTTGTATCTTGAGAATTATTGACATTTTTAAAGATATAAGCTCACCCTAACATTATACTCATTGAGTCCTTTTATTTGAGTACCCACATGTATTTTGATATATTTTTCATATATACATATATATAAAATATATAAATATATGAAA